GTCTTGCCAACAAGCTTCGGGTGGGTGGGTGGGTGGGATGCTTGCACGAGCATTGGTAAGGTGGTCACGCGAGGATGCGGTCAACGTTAATTCCACCACATCGCTTATACAGCCAGAGTGCCAAAAGTCACTGCTTGGGGTCCACGCTGGCAAATATGATATTTGCCGCCGTCTGTCTGAAGGGTGTCCAGGAAAACTTGGAGAACGCCTGCTGCAGTGCCCAAGGCAGCTCAGGACCAAACCCACCGCTCAGCCAAGAGACCCCCACCCCCCGATGCCTTGGCGACGGGAGCCGTGAGAGACCCCATGCCCAGGCTTCCCGACCACGTGCCTGTGCCTCGCTGCCAAGCAGCACATCGAAAGTCTACGGATGAGTCCAGCGGAGGCGTAGCGCGACGATGCGCGATGCAGCGCGGTGCCTCCGCGAAGAGCTGGGCCTCCAGGATCTTCTCAGCGACCTCGAGGTGGCCGCATCACGCCATGCAGCGTGTTCGCCTTGCTCTCCGTGCAGCGCTCGGTTCTCGAGAGCACCGCGGTGACATTGGCGCCGGCGCGCCGAGCAGCAGCCTCACCGCCACGTGTACTGCAAGACGTTGATGGCCCTGTACATCTCACTCCAAGCCATCGCGCGTCGCCTTGAGCATGCTTCCAGACCAGCTCCGGACAGGCGAGCGGCGAGCGCGACCGGCGAGCGCTCCCGCCTCCGCCAGCCCCGCCCAGAACCTGACTCACTCGCTTGGGCTCCTCCAGCCGGCTCCAAGCCTGGGCGCCGCCATGGTCGTCGGGGGTTGTCGCCGTCGTCGGGAGGCATTTGGAGGCCTTCGGGAGGCCTCGGCTTGGAGGAAACTGGTTGGGACCCCAGAGAATGGGCCTGGAGGAGGGGGTAAAGCCAAATCCGCTCAAAATCGGTCCCTGGTCCCCTCCCGTGGTCCATCTGGTGCAGTTGTTCACCCAGGATATATTTTAGATCCTCCTGGGGCCCAAAAAGAGGCCCCTCGAGGCCGAACAAAACAAAAAACAGAGAATAACACAACGCAGCAAAAGCAGATCGCGTTATGCTCGCACTTGGTGTTACTTTGTGTTGCTTTGCATCTGTGTGCATTGCTTTGCATCGCTTTGCATTGCTTTGCATCGTGCACTGCGTTGCATTGTTTCGCTGTGCTTTGCATGATTGTGCGTTGGCATTGCGTTAGATGCTTTGCATAGCTTCGCATTGCTTTGCATTGCTGTGCTTTGCATTGCTTTGCATCGCTTTGCATCGCTTTGCATTGCTCTGCATTGATTCTCCTTTCTGAAAGACTAATAGCTTCTACCCCCCCCCCCGGACTTATCGGTTACCCCGCGCGTGCTGTAAATTACATATGATTATGACCACATGTCCATCCTAAATATGAGTTCATACTATCCCAGCCAAGCCGGTATCCCCCCCCCTGCGGTTCCCTTGTAAAAAACACTATGCGGTGACATTTTTTGTTCTAACATAACACTTTTTCACGAATCCCTTGCAAAAAATAGGACGAAGTGCACACGCGCGCGTCGTCGCGCGCGCATGCCGAAATCCTTCAAAAACCTTCGGTGCCGGAAGGATTTCGCAATCGAGTTTCCGAAAAACATACAAAAACACATGGTTTCGCAACACTGATTTGCTAAAAAAACTTCCGCGTGAGGTCCTTGCGAAATCTTAAGAAAACCATAGGTTTTCCAAGATTTTCACAAAATGCTACCAAACGGGCTTCGCGCGCGCGCATGTCGAAATCTGTCGAACGCCCTTGCGCGTGTGCCGTCGCGAGAATCCTCTGCAAAAAATGGGACGAAGTGCAGACGCGCGCGTCGTCGCGGGCGTATGCCGAAATCCTTCAAAAACCATCGGTTTCAGAAGGATTTCAAAATCGTGCGTCCAAAAAACCTACAAGAACCCAAGGTTTCGCAACACGGATTTTCAACAAAAGCGTGCGCGCGCGCTCTTGCGTCGTCGTCGTCGTCGTCGTCTCCTCCCTCCTCCCTCGTCGTCGTCGTCGTCGTCGTCGTCGCCGTCGTCGTCTGTCTTTCCTCGTCGTCGTTGTCGTCGTCTTGGCGTCGTCGTCGTTTCCGTCGTCGTTGTCGCCGTGGTCGTCCTTCCTCCCTCGTTGTCTTCGTCGGCGTCTCGTCGTTGTCCCTCCTATTTCGTCGCCGTCGTCGTCGTCGTCGTCGTCGTCGTGTGTCTTCACTCCTCCCTCGTCGTTATCCTCCTCCCTCGTCGTCGTCGTCCGTCGTCGGCGTCTCGTCGTCGTCCTTTCATTTCGTCGCCGTCGTCGTCGTCTTCGTCGTCGTTGTCATCGTCGTCGTCTTCCCTCCTCCCTCGTCGTTGTCGTCGTCGGCGTCGCCGTCCTTCCTCCTTCTTCGTCGTTGGCGTCGTCGCCGTCTTCCCTCCTCCATCGTCGTTGTCGTCGTTGTCGCCGTCGTCGTTTTTTCTCCTCCCTCGTCGTCGTCTCCGTTGGCGACGTCGTCGTCGTCTTCGTCGTCGTCGTCGGCGTCGTTGTCGTCGTCGTCGGTGTCGTCGTCGTCGTTGTCGCCGTCGAAAA